GGTCGGCTTTGGGACCGTACACGCAGCACCGCACGGGCGAGGCAGGGCATCCGCAAAGCAAAGCATGCCCAACCCTGGCGCTTGCATGACACCAGGTTCCCAGCTAGCGTCGGTGTATAAGACTACCACTGGACGTGGCTCTAGGGAAAGACGAATTTCCCTAGGCGTCACCACATCAAGCAATGCCAGCATGTACTTTAAACTGCGTCGCAACTCTGGAGTGAGTTCGTCGTCAGACTCGTACTGACGTCTAACAAGCGGGCCCTGTCCACCTCTGGCGCAGCGTCCATACATGGCCGAACTAGCCCACTGAAAACGCCCCCGGAGTTTGGACGCTTGGCCGGATGTTAGAAAACCGGCTTGCAAATATCCAAAATTTCGCTACGGAGAGCTTCCCGAAGGCCCGGCTTGACATCCACTTGCATGCTCAGTTTGTCTGAGGCACCGGCGAAATTGAGCAAAACTCCCAAGAAAACTCGCTGTGATGCCATGGGTTGTTGTTTAAGCTCATCAAGCACAGCCCCAAAAACTTGATACACGCACTGTAGGGATTCTTGGCCTGACCCCCGCGAGCATGCCAGGTCAAAAATGCCTGTGTCATCGAAGTAAAAAGCTGCTGCAGTCGCCAAGCACTGGCGCGCCACTGCAGTGGCAAGCGCTGGTAATCTGTTAAACTTAAGCACTGCACTTGAGAGTCCAAATGGATGCGCTCTCATGAGCGCGTAACGAATCTCCGACACACGGGGATGCCATATGGCCACAATGAGAAGCGGCGACTCTTCCGGTACATTCGGAATCTGACGATATGCACTCTGCATATCCACACAACCAAAGACTGGCACAAACCAAGTGGGACACTGTGGGAAGGATTGGGCCAACAATCTCAGGAGCTCTTTACAGGAAGCTGCGCCGAAGTCCGGTGTGTTTGTCACGATAGTTTCCCGTGCCCAGCTAAGATCATTATGACCGCAGCTGCGGCCATTGTCGATGGGTCTCAGTTTACCGGAAGGTTGGACGTGCATGAATCGCTGCATTGGCAGCCATTGGCCCGCGCCAAACACCTGGTCTAACTGATCTTGGGAAAAGAGCCCTTCTGCCCAACCTTGCTCAATCTCGTGCACGGTGTGCTCAAGGAGCTCTTGCGCATACTCATTGCGTGGCAAGAGGGCCTGCAACTTGGCATGCGCTGCGGGTGCCCTGGCGCGGATCTCATCCTGAAGGTTCGGTGCTGGCGGAGTGGCAGGCTGGACCATCCGAAAAATCCCTGGGGACTCTATGGACCCAAAGAGACTAAACCCAACAACGAACCTAAGACCAATAGTGAGGTCCGGCCAATCAAGGAGGACAGCTGCAGCCGTCATGAAGGCTGGACTTTTGGAATCCGCAACCCTCGCAACAGAATCCGGCATTGCCTGACGCAACGCTTGCTCCCAGGGCGCAAAGAACTGTGCCAAGGCGAGCATGGCTCTGCGTTGGATTCTACGCCATGTCCTTAGGCAAGGCCCAAGCGCAACCATTGCACGAAGCGCGAAGCAAGCGTCCGGGTCCAATAGGGCTTGTGTGTCATATGGAGATGGGATGCACCGACTGAGCCGGATGTGTGTACCTTTGCCGACCCCTGGTGCGATCAATGGCTGCAGTGCGTGTTTCGACAAGGGGCCCCCGCGCTGCGTCCCTAGGGCCAATGACGATTGCGCAACATTGCGCTGCTGCGTCCACTGTGGACACCCAATCTCCTCACAAGATCCCCTGAGGATGCAGTCTGCACGGAACACTTGAAGTATCTTGAAGTCTCCTAACTGCAAGCCGAACCCGCTCTGTAACCACCAATTCTGGCAAGGCAACTTGAAGGGATGCAAATTGCGCCCCGACCTTCTGCACAACGAATTCAGGGGACAGGAGGCCTGGGCACGACTCCAACATTCCTGGTTGAAACACTGTGCCGCGAACTTGACGCCGAAGACACTGCTCAAAACCTGCGTAAACAGGCGGGGCAATCCCAGTTGTGCTTGGCAAAAGTTGGAACAGAAGAACCAAGACAAGCATGACTGACGGCACATGAAAAGAATTGCCAATCAAGGATGCTCGTTTATGCTCTGTCTCACGTGGCGAGCTTGATGAGTCCTTCTCCAACCACTGCAGCATAGAGGCTGGAATGCACATGAGCGCTGCCCGCTCCGAAGCATTGGGCTGCCGCCATTGTTGCTCGCGCCAGAGCAGCGATTGCTGCTCATACGCAAAAGCAGGGTACGTGCGCCCATCCAGCTGATACCTATCACATGCTTCTGGGGATGCCCGGACATCAGGCGACTTCGGATGCACAAAAGCACGCGTGAACGTGGCGAAGGCTTCCTTTGGGACACACGCGCCCAAATTTGCCACGGGCTTAAAGGCAGGCGCAAACTTATCCTGGAACGCTACATGTTCAGGCACAGGTTTCTTACCAACCCACACAGCGTGCATGAGCCCCGCTTTATCTTGCTCCAGCCTCATCTGGGACAAAGCTTTGATCTTGGGCGAAGATGTTAAGGAGTTTTGGCCATCCGAACCCCAAAAACAGCGATCACGTTTAACCCACCCAAATGAGGACGCATGGACAGTGAGGGGTAGGCCACGCATTGCCTCATTTATGGCATGAACGACTGTCTTTGGCGCATGGCTAACATTCTCCAGCAGCTGCAACACAGGCGTGCGCCTGCCTAGCGAAGCCAACAGCTTACGGCAGTCAGTGGCTACCCTCGGGATCTCTTGGAAGAGCTGAGTCCTGTCTGCGTTGAGGCCTTGACGATGCTTGTGAAGGAAACTGATGTCCTGGCAAGGGGACCCTCCTGCGACTAAGACAGCAGCATACTGGTCCTGCGCAAGTGTGTCTCTGAGGCTCTCCACGTCAAATGCTTGAGCATCGGCAAAATGGCTTATGTTTCGAAAAGCTCCACGGCACACATCAACTGCATCACCATCCCATTCGACCGCAACCGCCCTAAAGGACACCCCCAACGCAAGCAATCAATGAAAAGGGCTCCTATGCCGTCAAACATAGAGATCACAAGGATGGGCCCAATATGGTGCAGAGTCCAAACACTCTGCGGCAAGGGCGTGACACCCTCATAGTACACAAAGCTGCTCTGGGGCATCACTTGCGCACCTGGAGCGCACTTTGGCCTAAGCTGCCTAGACCCCACCCCGGCACTGACTTTGCGGGAGGAACATCCTTGCCCACACACGGACACGGTCCGGGCACTAGATGTCGGTGTCTTGTCGATGACTCTACGCCTGGCAGGTTTGGGAGGCAAGGGAGGGGGTACTGGGTTCTTAGCAACAGGCGGTAACGTTGCGCCTTGGACCTCCTTGCACGTCACTGCGGCTGGATTCTGAGGGAGAGACTGGCCCATCTGGGCCATGACAGGGGTGGCCTCACCCTGGCCCTGCGGCAGGCCTTCCAGGCCAGGGCGGCCTACATCCTAGCGGTTCGGGCACCGCAGACGATTATGCTGTGTACTGGCACACACCTTGCCCGACGCAAGAAGCACGTCGCACGCGTGCAGATCTTGGCAATCGGCCTTGGCACAACCTCTGTTGTCATTCCATCTCTTACACAATGTGCGTCCCACATGCTCACGTGCAGTTTTTGCCTTCTTGCCAGGGGAAGTGTCTGAAGGCGCCGTTTCCAGCTCAGGTCTCTTGCGGGTGGGCGGCTGAAGCCACATGAGTTCCTGCTCCTGGTAGGCTTTCTGAAATGCTTCTCCCAGAGGCCATTGCTGGCGGGAAAGTTCAACCACACGAGCTCGGCACTGCTCGTCGCGAACCTTAAGCCACTCCACAGGTGCACTGAACTCCGTGGCATGCCTTAGTGCAGCGTCACAGTAGTCCAGAAGCGCTCCCAGTGGAGCCATGAGCACCTTGGTGCCTTTGTTCAACTTGGACTCTGTCTGGAAAGTACCTGCAACAGTGTATGCATTCACAAGCACCCGCAGCCTCTGGTAGTACTCTGCTACAGACTGGGCTGCCCTGGAATCGTCCTCAGGACGGATCTGGAGTTTTGCTGCGCCTAAGTGAATGAAGTGATCATTCTTAGGCCGATTGGCAGCAAACAATGACTTCACCTTGTCCACTGCGATGACAGTGAGGGTACCTCGCTGCAACTCACGCCACACACGACCCAGCAATGTGTCGCTCGGGGCCATATACACGGTAAGTTCCAGGTTGTAGCGCTTGCGCCACGCATCAAGCAAACTCTCTTGCGTACTGGCATCCAGCGGATCGTCTAAATCATCTGCTGACTGACCTTGCTGAGCACGCGCCTCCACCCTAAGGATAGACGCTCTGGCCGTTCTCCACGCCGACCTCAACCTAGCGAGCAGTAACGGCTTGTTTGGGGCATTCTTGGTGTGGTCACAAGCCGACAAGATGACCGTGTCCAGCTCGGACTCATAGCCCTGCACCGTGACTATGTTGCAAAAGTCACTGAGCGTTTCAATGCCCAAAGTGGTTTCGCACCACTTGGTGAGCTCATCGGGGAGCCGCTGCTCCTCAAAACATCGCCTAAAGTCCCCTGCTTTCGCCATGGCGACAACGCACGATCCTATCCCAAGCACCGCTGGCAAAACCAAAACTAGAAAGGAAGCAGACAAGTTGTCAAGTTATGCATTTGCGGTCGAAGAACACACGCAACTGCAAAGGTGCGGTATCATGTCATTCGTTTAGCCAGTCTGCGCAAGAACTCGGTGTCAAGACCGAACAGCCCCACAGAGTGGCCAGCCGCCGTCACGAACCTCAAAGGCATGCGCAGCGTAGTGGCCCGATAGTCCATCACAAGCTGTACACGTGTCATGCTCGATGACCTAACACGACGCCCAGCCCGTACGCTTAAAACAAAATCTGAAGCGCAGGCAGAAGGCACTGTGGAAAAGGTGACATGAGCCCCACACGCGTATGCAGCTTTAGAACATGGAGCAACACGCGACACCTCAAGCACCACTTTCGGCGCGAACCTGCTGGAACTAGACTACAGACTCTTGAATCTTGCAAGCCTCACGCCAAGCCAGCGGTGCTCGAGCCAAGCACTTTTGGCATAGCTCCGTTGCTGCAGAGATGCCTGCACCTCTCTCGTAATGCACAGCTGCAAACACAGAATCTCTGCACCAAGGCACCAGCATGTTGCCCTGGACCTTTTGGACAAGATGCTTCTGTCCTTTTCCAGACTGCGTGAACCATGGCAGAGTGTCGACAGAGTGGACCTCTGTCTCGGAATCTGACGATGAAGAATTTGAGTCTGAAAGGGAAACTGACGAACTATCCACAGGGCTCCTGAGAGAGGTGGGTCTCGACGGCGACGCCTGAGAGCTGCCCTGCGTCTGCAAATGCTGAAGGACCGCTTCACGCGGAGGCACGTGCAGCCGCACATCATGCCATGTGCACTGCGTCGGCTGCCCTGACTTCAACATTGCTTGGTGCAACGAAGTCAAAATCTGATGTTTGATAAAGGCAGCAGAAAAGACCTTATCGTGCGCATAATGCTGAGCCATGCCCACTGCTGGAGTCCTTGCCCCAGTGGAAGCTTCTGTCCGGGGCAATTCCACCCAATTGCCAACTGCCTGCAGCTCAAACGGCGCAAACTGCATAACCTCCCCCGCCGTCGGCATGAAGCGCCGTAGGCTGTAAGATGATATCTCTGCGGCCTCCTCAGGGGAGGCGCCCAAGCTAGCCGCCAGTGAACGAAGCAAACTGTTGAACTTGGCCAAGGTCATGGGTCGAGGCAGCTTCCGTGTCGTAGACGACAATGGCAAGGCAGCTGTAACCTCTAAGTCAGGCACGAGAAAGCTTGGTGGCTTGCCTAAGGCACGCTGCAACTCGGCCCAGTCCAGCAATACCAGGCTCGAAACATCCACGGACTGCGTAAGCCGGGCGGGAATGGCCCAATCAAACGGCGGCCGACGGCCCTGGATTCTGCGCTTGCCCTGGCTACAGGTTGCCCGGATAAAACCGTCCTGATATCTGAGCGAGTGCGATCGACGACTGTGCGCGAACCTCAGACAGGCCACTAACAGCACAAGCGTCCAGGTCATGAATGAGGCAACTGTACCAGTGGCCTGGCGAACTGTTCTGAGAATAGCCCAAAAGATGGCGAGCTGCAACGGGGTCTTTGGCTGAACTGTATGCTGCTCATCCCATCTGACATAGGTAAAGGCAATCCCACAACTGTCGCCCACCACTTAAGGGAAGCAAAGGCTTGGCACGAAGCAGTAGGGCCCCCTTGAGCTACATGAGCCAGATATTTGGCCATCCAAAGGGCTGTTGGCTTCCAGTACAGCACCTCTGTCGGAACATTGGCCCCGTGCCAGCGCACCCAGCGACGAAAGGCGCGAAGATGCGCTCGAAGCTGCTCCTCCGACACAGTACGAAAGCGCGCCGCAAACAAAACAAAGTTTTCTGCAGGGTTGTCCCAAATTGCCCGATCAAACTGGGTGTTTTCCGAAGCTGACGTAATGACCAGTTCCATAACTGTTTGTAGCAACGCACTCTTGGCGTCTGGCATGGCAGGCTGCGACCGCAAAGGCTTAGATGCATACTGCGCCCTAAACGGCCGAGGCAATAGCGACACCGGCGGCACACATCGCGCCTTAGGCCGCAGTCCGGCTCCCGCCTGCGGCACTCGTTGCTCCAACACCACACGGGCTCGCTTAACTGGCTTCTGCAAGGCGATGTCGACTTGTAGGCGGGCCACACGCCACGCATGAGTAACAGTACTCACCACGTCGGGCTTGGCAGACACCTCGAACAAATCCATCTCATCACGGAAATAGCAGGCCAATTCAGCGTCCGTTTCAATGCCCAGCGCCCCCACCACTCTTGCCGCCTCCTCTTTCAAGATCGCAGAAACTGCCAGAGAAAAGGCACTCATGGCGGCAAAAGAGGGTCTGGATCATAAGATGGGGGCAGCTGTGATTCAAGCCACAATGGCTAGTCATCATGCATCATTATACGAGCACCTGGACCCTGCCCAACCAGCCATCCTCAGGTGCAACTGCATGTGTGTGTGTGTGTGTGTGTGTGTGTGTGTGTGTGTGTGTGTGTGTGTGGGTGTGTGGGTGTGTGGGTGTGTGGGTGTGTGTGGGTGTGTGTGGGTGTGTGGGTGTGTGTGGGTGTGTGGGTGTGTGGGTGTGTGGGTGTGTGGGTGTGTGGGTGTGTGGGTGTGTGGGTGTGTGGGTGTGTGCGGGTGCTGTGTGCGCTTGCATGTGCGCGTGTGCCATGTGCATGTGTGTGTGTGTGTGTGTGTGCGTGTGCACGCGTGTGCTTGTGTGCGTGTGTGCGGTTGAGCGCTGACGTTGTTGCTTCTCGCGAATACTTCGCGAACGTTGCCGTGGGGCAATGCGGCTTTGGGGAACTCATCCACAAATCAACACCCTGGCATCGAACACTAGTCACGAAACCCTAAACGAACCCATCGCTTACATCTCGGCGTGCGAGTCTTGGAAGTTGTCCTCCTCCGGATCCCCGGTTTGGGGACCGCACGCACCACCATGGGCTGCTGCTGCACAGGGGGACTTCGCCTAGAAGGACGCAATGGAAGCCTAGCCCCTGTCAATATTCGAAGAGCTTCCGTTCAAGGAGTTGAGGTCTCTGTTGAGAGGCGTGGTGTTCAAGTCTAGGATGGAAATCGCCTAGGGTGACAGTTTAGCATGGAAGCTACCTAGGGTGACCCGACACCTTCGGATTTACCTGGCAACTCCTGCATCAACACCACGCAACATGTTTGATACAAGTCCCCTGACAGGTCATTCGTTAATCACCATGCCACCTGAACGAAGCTAGCTACCTAAACAACAAACACGCCCGAAACCATCAAAACTTCCATCCCAACCCCTGTTTCATGATGAAACGACACTCAGCACTCCTAACCTCGAATATCAGGGGCTCGTGGTCCTTTTGGGACCAAATGAACCCTAAAAGGGCTTGTGGTGCAGATATTATAGCAGCATGGGGTATGTGATCTCCAAATGACAGCCTGTTACTTACAGGTTGCTTTCGTCATCAGGCATGGGATGGCTTCCATCAGACTGGGCTGTCGGCTCGGCGCCGAAAGCGTCGACTCGCCCCGCTGTGCGGGGGAACCCTCGTGACAACACTCTTGTCCTGAGGAGTCCTGACAAGCAATCCCGAGGCCGAAAAGTTCTGTCGAGGGAAACTTTCCGCTCCCTCACCCACCCGACACCAACAATGTGGGGTGTGGCGGGGGCATCTGGCAGCTTTTCCACTGGCCCGAAGCAAGGGCAGGGACCTCTTCGGGACCCAAGCGCATTCGACGGCCACGACACAGTACCGGAAATGATTGGCGGGTTTTGCCGCAAACACTTGAACAGTTCTTGAACGATTCTCCTGGCGGGGCCATCCGTGAAAGGACCTCGCAAATGAGGGCTTTTGGGCTTTCCATACGGCCCGTCACCAGTGCAAGGCCACGAAGGGCGGCCCCCCAACCAGAAATGCAAAATAGAAAACACCAGTTCTACAACCTCTACCAGTCTCATCATCCCCGGTCTCCTTCATGCCATAGGGGCCTGGGCTGGCTGGGTCCCGATTCCAGGAGTTCATTTCTTGGCGCCCCACGGCGTCGTGACGCCACTCTGCGGGACATGGGTGAGCGCCCTGAGCATTGTGGGGCTTAGGGCTTGTAGGGGTGCACGGGGCCACTGCGGACTCACTGTGGGCTGCAAAAGGCTTTTAGTGACAATATCTACGATGTACGCGGGTGTTGAATTTTAGAGTGTAAAGGAGGACGGACCGGTTCCCATCCGTCAACTCGAGGAGGCAGAAGGGAGAGACAGCTTCTAGATGCTTTGATGCTTTCGGCCAAAGGCATCGAAAGACAACACGAGTCATGCAAACTAAGTGCATGCAAAGGGACAACTCGCTAGAGTTGTCACTGAGTTATCACTACGAATGAATGTTTTGCTTACTTTAGGGGTTTAGGAAAACTCGGAGGTTCCACCGTTGCACCCTGGGGTTGCTCCAATCCGATACTAAAGCTATGCATGGCGCCCAGTTCGCGGGCTGCCAACATAAAGGGTCATGGGCATCATGCTTCATATGCACCGGCACGTTCTCAAAATGTGATGCAGCGTCTCGCGCAGGCCATCCACAGGAACGCAGACCTCCTATGATTGCAAGCTCAAGTACAAGTACTGTGTGCTTCTATGCTACCTGTACATAGCGAAGCCCTTAGAATCCCCACAAGGGTCCGGGCGGCGTTGAGTAGGAGGATCTCACAGCCTGCGGAAGCCCCCAGCATGAGTTCACTTCATGGGCGCTGAGGTTGACTTTCGCGTCACTTCATCCAATGAGAGCTACGGATTGGTTTATGTTCCTCATGCAGAGAACTGAACAGAATTCCGGCTGCCAAGCAAAACCTGAGCCATGAACCCGAAACGACAGGAAGATGCGACACTACAACACGACGCGAGGACATTCTCTCTCTGCCGCGCCATCCCCTAGGGTCTTGCTACGCAAGGACATTGCGCAAGACATTTTATGAGTCTGGGCTCGTCTCTCTTCGCGTCTCGACATGACACGACAAATCGACGAACACCACGAAAACGCGACGATGAAGAGAACGACACAAAAACGCGACAAAAAGAGGCGACACGAAGACACGACACGAAATCTGACCCCAACACGCGACACAACCACGACGAGGACACGAAGCGAACCACTGCAACAAAAAAACAAACAAAGGCGCGACCAAAACACACAAAGACACAAACACTCGACACGACCACGAAAACATCGCGAGACATCGCGAGATGAGGCCAAAATGCAGCAGGGGCTACAGCTGCCGCGTCGCCGACGAATCACAAAATGTCACAAACACGTTGCATTACCAACATGCAGGATTTCACACCCAGCCCTGGCCAACATGCCCGGACACATCGGGAAGTGACGCCCCAAAATGCGGGTTTCTGCACTGCAGCCGCCGCGCGACACTCAAGATGCGCACACGTAGACTTCCGCGGCGGACTAAAGGCGCTGCGCATCGCTGCAACCACAGCCGCTGCAGAAACAATGCCCCAAACGCATGACCCCATCCACAACTCGACTGTCGCGCGGTCACCTAACTCCTGTAAGCCCAACCAGCACTTTGAACGCATCGGGATAAAACTGCATCTACGTATAATATATAGTCATTTCTCAACATGCTATTCCTTGGGTGAGGAGGGGGAACGTGGAGTGGTAGAGCTACATGACTGATGTGTACTGTCAAGAGTTTCGGATCACTGTCATGAGATGTCATGAGTGACCTGCTCCGGCTGCGCAGGCCCCGTAGACGCCTGCAATGTGGGGCATCATGGGCCGACACCATGACATTAGTCTAGATTTTGTTGGGAAGGCTGATTGGTTGAGATTGTGTTGGCGAGAAAAACTTGGTAGGTGAAGTTGCTGAGCCTGCAATACGTGTCTAATATGTGATTCACGAACACTGTTGTGCGCAGTTCGCTGCTCTCGCCTTGTCATGGCCCTGACTGTGAGTTGTCTGAGGTGCCGGCTGGCTGCCCCGCATAGTTCCTCAGAGCTTCATGCAATCACCCCTTTGCATACATCTACTGGGCTTGTCCATTCAAACTTGGCAGAATCCGATTTTCGTCTCAGGTAGATTTATTAGCTTGTTGACCTCAGAATTGGGATACCCCCCCCCCCCCCCCCCGTGATTCCACAATCCGACTCGCAGAACGTAGTGCGGGGCAGGTGGGGTTCTTAATATCAAAACTAACCTAGGAACATGTGGCTTCAAGGTTTAGGGCTTCGGAGACATCTGTGCCAGACCATGCCAGACCTGCGTATCCAGTTCGAAAGCGCTCCCGGCACGTCTAGAGATGTACGGCCTGTCGGCCTGTCGCACAGTACACGGAGGAGGAGGTCAGTGCCCGTGCAATTTTGCTGCACAAAAACTGAGAGCACTGAGCCCTGTACAAGGATTCCTGGGACCCAGTGCGATACGAAGAATTTCAGGAAACATATGACTTAATCGATAACTACCGTGAAAGTGTCCTATCCACCACATCATACTCCCGCGTCATCACGCGTCTCAGGCTCCCACGCTTTCGGCGCCCCCGCCACAAGGTAGGGACCCTGAATCAATTGCATCTGCGAATGGCCATTCTTGGGAAGTCCCACTCTCTATGCACTCCAAATGAATGAAGCTGTGACATCAAGTGACCAGTTAATCCAGAAGTGCAAGAGTGTTCTTGCCAGGGTGTGGCAGAGAATGGAAATAGCATGGAAAGAAAATAAAGACTACTTCTTCCTCACTACAACCTATGCCAAAACCTCGTGGAAAACCACTGATACCTGGCACCTACGCAGGCCAAGCAACCCAAGCGCAAAAGGTCAACTTGACCCCAAAGCCGACGCATATTCAATCCCCGAGCCGGAAAACCGGTGAAAACCCCAAAGGCTCGTATCCAGCTTCACATGTACAGCTTGTGAACTTGAGCCCTCTCCTCGAAGACCTCTGAACTCGAATTGTGCACACGGCGGACCGGCACCTGGCTTCGCCACGGAGGTGTCGCAGCCGGCGGTCGCATCATGGCTCGGCACCTCTTTTGGCGCTGAGGGCATCAGTGTAGAGGGCAGGTTGTTGCCGATTGCGAAGACATGCGTGGGCGTAGACATTGGAGTCCTAAGTCATATATAGTGACCCAGTCAATCCAGAAACCAGCGAAATTTAAACCCCGCTCTTTTGGCATGGTAGGTGTGGCTTGGTTTATCTTGATTTGCCATCGGTGTGCTCGACCGAACTTGGGTTAAGGTACCCAGGGAATGGTTGCGACCTGGGGAATGCGGCTCTTTGTTGCACCCTGCTCCACAGCAAGGGCTGTACATGGCTGTACATTCTCACAGAAAACCTTC